ATTATCTTACTATCTTCACAACAAACTTGCAAAGTAAGTACTATAGATGCTCTAGTATACTACTATGGGTAATATTATCCTCGTTTTCTAGATAAGAAAATCGAATGATTTGCCCATGGCCACACAGCTACTAAGCATCATGGGTCCAGCACTCTTCCTACTATTCAATGCTTCTCTAACATAAAGAGTGACTTATGGCATGGGGTGGGGGTGGGGGTGGGGAAGGAAGTTGTCAGAAGGAAAGCCAAACAAAGTGGTCTATAAAAATCGAAGAGGAAAAGATCACTTTCATCTGGGGATATCAGTGAAGGATTCATGGAGTAGGTGACACCTTATGTAAACCTTGAAGGAAGAGAAGGATTTTGATTAGTGGAGATGAGGAGGAAGACCATTCCAGGTGCAAGCCAAATGAATGGATAGATGAGTGGATGAATTTAAAAAAATGTATTAAATACTTACTAAGTACTGTGCTAATTGCTATGGATACAAACTGAAAAATAAGGCAGTTCCTACTTTCAAGGACCTCACATTCTAACAGAGGGAGACTCACCAAATGGAGGAAGTTTCAGCTGCAAGTCAAATGAAAGGCCTGGTGGTCCTTTCAGTGCAGCTGCCAAGCTGATGATAAAGCATTTTCTTTAATGCCATTTCCATTAATAAAGCTACTCATAAATCATTTGACAGTGCCAAGGACTTTGGAGGTAAGAACTTTCTTTTCTGGGACTTCAGTTGAGAAGTCAGGGCCTGCAATACTTACAGAGGAAATTGCTCAATTACATTTCCAAAAGAGTTGCTTCTCTGATGGATTTGGGAGCCAGACTGTAAGCAGGAGTGGGAGTCCAGGGCAGGCTGTTGCTGCTGACCTCAGGGTTCTTGGGCTTGCCCATAGTTGGTTGGCAGTTGGTGTTGAGGATGGTAGGATGACGGTCCCTTCTTCCACAGGGGTTGCTCCCCTTGATAATGGTTGTGGGGGCCAGTTTGGAAGCAGGGCCAGTGTTGTGTGTGTGTGTGTGAGTGTATGTGTGTGATACTTTTATTCCTGGCTCTTGGGCTCAGGGTCTTGGGAAGTCTCCATATGGGAAGGTAATGGTTGAGGTAGTTTGACTTAGATGGTCCATACTGCCTTCTGTCTCTGTCTCAAGGAGTCCCACTATCCCAGCCAGACTGGATTTCCTTACTGGAAAGTGGCAGTTGTCAGCCTTTGGTGTTGTTGTTGGTGCTATATAATGACAAGAAGGGTACCTGTATACTTAAGGAGATTTCTCACACTTTAAGCTAGTAGCTTATCACCCAGGAAACCAACTGTTGAACCAGAACTGAAGTGCATACAAAAGACTTCAATAGAGAAACTCACCTGCTGAGTTTGTGGCTGGCTGGCCACAAGGCATAAGGATGACTTGGTGAGCTTGGGAGAGCTAGTGGGAGTGTCCTTCTCTCTGACCTGTGAACTCATTACCCCCTAGGCAAGCCAGTGTCTGGGATGGGACTGCCTCCTGTTTGGGCTTCTTCTTTTAATACAGAACCTTATGTGACTTTGAAAGGTCAGAAAAGCAGAGGTTCAGTGACAGGAGCCCGTGCCAGAGTTTGTCAGCTGAGTTCAATGTACCAGTGAAGTCCTGAAGAATGATCTGCTTTACCCTGCCCAACACGGGATCAACCTAGGAGTGGAGATGCTATGTTCTACAGCAAGGGAATAACTTACCTAGTAGCGATGCTTCATTTAGAAATGAGTCAAGTGGGTTGAATACTTGAATCAGCAACTCTTAGTCCCACAGATGTATATGAATCCTCAGAGTCACTTAGACTCTTTCCCACAAATATTGTCTGAGTCTTATTCTCTCTATTGCTTGAAAGAAGAAAGGAGGTGACATTTCTCATTCCTCTCCTCTTTCTTTTCTTCTCTTCCTCCCTTCTTTTCTCTTCTTATCTGCTTTCTCCCTTTCTTATTACTATCTTTCATGGTTCAGTGTGGTAACGCAGTCGATCAGTTCATAAGACCAGGCAAGTCTCTTTAGAGTTCTCCGCCCTTCCAGTGCTGCTTTCTTGGTGCAAGATAAAGGTTAAAAAACAAAATCAAACCAAACCACCAGCCTTTTCCCCCTCATCTGGTTGCAACTGTTTTCTCCTTGTATCCTCTTTCTTCTATATATTCTTCATTCTTATACGGACACACATCTTTCCCATCATTTGATACATTTCTTCTAACAATCTTCCAAATTATAGTAGATACGTATACAATGATAACACAAAATACACTTACCTACTGTACATCTTACAATATACTATAATGTACTATATATCTTATAATATACTATAATATACTATACATGATACTCACGCATAGTAAATTTGTATATAGTGAACTTTACATTCATTCTAGCATTCATTGGTAACAGCAGCTATTTATCTAGGACTTTAATGTTTACATAGCACTTCACATATTGGATCTCATTTGATCTTCACAACCACCCTAGGAAGTAGGTGCTATTATTATCCTCATTTTGCAGATGAGAAAATTGAGGCAGAGGTTAAATGACTTGTCCGGGGTCACAACACTAGTAAATGTCAGAGGCTGGATTTGAACTCAGGTTTTCCTGATTCCATTGTTCTATGCATTCTACCACCTAGCTGCCTCCTAGGTACAAGATAATTTCTTAAGGGAGGCACTAGAAGCTGGAGAATTGGGCAGGGAGGGAAAGGAAGGAAATCAGGGAAGCTCTCATATAGGAGCATCTGATCTCAGCTTTAAAGGAAGCTAAGAATTTGAAGAGGGAAAAATGAGGAGGGAATTCATTCCAAGAATAGGAGAAACACTAATAAGGTTGGTTTGACTGTGTCATCTGGCTCATTTCCCAAGATAACCCCACCCCACTGAATTCTCCCTTCAAGAGAGAAAAATCTAAGCAAAATCCAACCTACAAAGTGACTATGTCTCTATTTGACACTATATGCAACATTCTGAAACTACGAGAATCCTTGCAAGTAATATTTTGGCAGCATTTTAGTGTTGCTTACATTTACATTATTGTAGCCATTGTGTATATTGTTCTCTTGATTACACTCTTTTAATAACCACCCCACTACCAAACATTGATGACAGAGGCCCTTAACAGAAGGAAAGGTTCCATAAATACCACCCCCTCTGGCCTCGTTCTCCAAACTCCCGTTTGTATCCATGCTTGTTCTTTGTAACTTTGCAACATTATTACTTTTTTTATTGTTTTGTTATTGTTCTTTCCGTGTTCATTTTGGTCGTTATTTGGTATACTGCTTTCTTGACTTCTCACAAACCCTCCAACATTGACTATTGCCAAATTTTATCATCTTTGTCAATTTCTGGGGGTGAGGTGAAACCTCAGAATTGTTTTGATTTGCATTTCTCTTATTTTTAGTGATTTGGAGCCACATATGACTGTTAATAGTTTATAATTCTTCTTTTGAGAAATATTTGTTCATATGCTTTGACCATTTATCTATCGGGCAATATACATGTGTATATATATATATATATATATATATACACATATATACACACACATGTGTGTACATATATAGGTAGAAAATGTGATAGATGTGTGTATATATATATATATATATATATCTGTTACTTATCTATATATCTTGGTTACAAAATCCTTATCTGGTAAATGTGATACCAAGATTTTCCCCCCATTTGACCACTTCTCTTCTTATCTTCACTGCATTAATTCTGTTTATGCAGAAGTTCTTTAATTTCATGTAATCAAAGTTATCTATCTTATCTTATTATATTATCTATATTATCTTTTGAAATTTCCTCAATCTTTTGTTTGATTAAGAGCAGCTAGGCAGTGCAGTGAATAGAGCACCTAGCCTAGAGTCAGGAAAACTCATCTGAATTCAAATACAGCTTCAGACACTTACTAGCTGTGTTACCCTGGGCAAGTCATTTAACCCTGTTTACCTCAGTTTCCTCAATTGCAAAATGTATTGTAAAGGAAATGGCAAACCACTCCAGTATCTTTGCCAAAAAAAACCCCAAAAGGGGTCACAAAGATTCTGACACAACTGAACAACAACAAATTTGTTTGATTAGGAATGTCTCCTACCCATAACTCTGAAAAGTATATGAACTAGTTCATTTTTAATTTTCTCATGATATAATTTGTAACATTAATGTCATTTATTTATTTGGAATTTATTATGGAATAGGGCATAAGATCTTGCCAAAAGCCTATTTTCTGCCAGAGTGATTTCTAGTTTTCCCAGAAGCTCTTATCAAATAGGGAATTCTTTCCTAAACCATTTATGTTTTCAGATTTGTCAGACATTGGGTTATTGACTTACACTATTTCTGGTTTTCTTTCCTTGTTTCTGTTTCTGTTTAGTCCATTCCATTGATTTACCTCTCTGTTTTAAAATCAGTACTATTTGGTTATGTTGACTATTACTTTATAATATAGTTTGAGATCTGGAAGTACTACTCCCCCTTCATCCCCACCTCTTTTCATTATTTCTCTGCATCTTCTTCATCTTTTGTTTCTCCAAATGAATTTTGTTATTATTTTCTTGAGCTTTGTAAAGTGTCCTTTTGAAGGAAAAGTGGGAGGGAATAAACATTCATTCAATGCCTACTGTGTAAGGCATGGTGCTAAATGTTTTCTAAATATTATTTATGTACAAATATTATAGTTTGATTGGAATAATATTAAAATTATAAATTAACTTAGGTTGTTTGTCATTTCTATTATATTGGCATGACCTAGCTGTGAGCACTGAGTATTCCTCCAGCTAATTCAGTTCTTTATTTCTTTAAGGAGCACTTTGTAATTGAATCTATGCAAGTATGTTGTGTGTTTTTGTAGATTTATCTCCAACTACTTTATGCATTTTGTAGTTATTTGGAATGAGGATTCTCTATTGTTGCCTCTTAGAGTATATATATATGCTGTTGATTTTTGAAGACTTATTGTGTAGTCTGGAATTTTGCTTAACTTATTCACGCCTTTTTCTTTCTGAAGAAGAAGGAAGAGACTATGAACAAGACCTACCTTGGACAGTGACCCACCTTTCTTCCTGGATCCATTTCTCTAGGCTAAGATCAAAAGACTGGCAATAAAGATTGAGGGGAGAGGCTTCCAGGTCTTTTGACCAGCAAGGTGAAAGAGTAAGTATTTTCTCCAATGTGCAAAATCTCTCAAACCTCTCCAAAATAGGAATTATGCACAAGAGATAACAATTTCAGTTGTCTCCACAGTCTGATATCAAGAATTCTAACAGAATTAACCTGATGAAATAACAGCAGAGAAAACAAATCCCTAATCCATAATAGGCTCCCTCTAGAGTTTTCTCCTCCCCATCCCTGTCAACTGTCACACTCTGGCTGGGCTGCACAATCTTACCCATAGACCTGTGCTCTAAGATACATTCAGCAATTCTTCATCAGCTTCTGAAAAACTGTCCATCAAACTGTGGTTTCTGGCATATATGATTTGGATATCTTTTTAGTTGCACTCAGCTGACAAATGTTTAGATCATCCATACAAAAGCCTAGTAAGAACCCCCCCCCCCCACACACACACTCATGCCCTTGGTTCAATTATAGAGATTAACTATTGATTCCTGGCCTTGAATGGTTTCTTGCTACCAGTCCAAGCATTAGTATCATTGGGAATGAGGACCTGACCCATTTAACTAACTTTAATTTCTTCCCATTTTTCTTGTTACTGCCTTTTCTTTCTTCTTGTATCCTGGTTGATTCTTATTTGTTATGAGTAACTGGGAGAGAGTGTACTTGCTTCTCAAAGGCAGCCGTGGTTGAGGTAACAACAATTTATCATTTAAGGTTCCCCTGAGCATCAAAGCAAGCCAATTATGCTTCCAAGAGAGTTGTTCACCACTTCATTAGGTGGTAACTTTTCTAAACTTTGTATGCAATTGTAAACTTTTTCACCTTCCTTTTGAGCTGTAGTTAGGAACTTAAAGTAAAAGTACTTAGAACTCTCCATATTTTTAAACTGATTATTTAGTGCCCTTAAGCATTCTTGTGCTGTAACAGATGGGGTTTCATTTTTAATGGAAGAAACACATCTAATGCAAATTCAGTCACTTTTTTTTTCTGTCTGACATGGGAGACTTGTAGGATCTTATGATATAAGTCGTACCTCTTCCACTGGGTTTTGGGTATTTTTGTTTTATTGTGATTTGGTCTGAGCCTGTGCTTTTACTGATGTAGTGAACTGCCAGATTAGAAATCCCTTCTACCAAGGCAAGATAACAACTATTATGCAATTTATAGTCTTAGAGAGTTTTTGGAATGCATGGAGACACTATGTGAATTGCCCATAGTCACAGTCAGTATGTGTCAGAGGTGGAACTTGAATTCAAATTTTCTTGACTACAAGATCATCTATCTATACACCTCTCCATGTTGCCTCTCTTTATGGTAATTAATTATGTTATTCCACCCCTCCCCCTAATGTTGAACCATCCTTTTGATCCTAGTATCAATCAAACTTGGTCATAGTAACATTTTTAAAATGTTGCTATAGCAAAAATATTGCTTTAGCCATGCTCAGATTTTATTTACTATTTTTATATTAATATTCATTAGTGATTTTGGTCTATAGTTCCCTTAAAACAAGAAGCAAAGAGCTTTGTACTTCCCTGATTTATATGCTAGCTATTAGAATTTTACTTGTCTCATAATAAGAGTTTGATAGAGTATTTTCTTTCTTAATTGTTGAAACATCTTCCCCTTTCTTCCTTCTTCCCTTTCTTCTTTCCTTCTTTCCCTCCCTCCTTCCTTCCTTCTTTCTTTCCTTACCAGATTTCCTGAATTTTATTATGTGAAACTTTCATCCAATTTTCCTAGTTCTATCCTCAGGAGCCAAACAGAAGAAGTCTAATTCCTATTCCGAATGATAACCCTGCAATACCAGGTCCTCCCTCCCTGATTTTTCTCTTGGCTAAAAATTCAAGTTACTTCAAAATAGACTCTTTCATACAACATAGACTCAAGGTCCTTCAGCATCCTGGTTGCTCTTCTCTGTATACTCAAGAAAAAAGTGATGAGGCTTCCACCTGCACTATTTCTTTATGGCTAGATGTCTTCTGGAGCCAGACTGGGAATTGTCTTAATTTTCTGGCCAATAGCCATCTTCTCCAAGAGTACAGGAATAGTTGCCAGGGACTTTTTCTGAAGTACATCATTGACTGAGGAACTGGAATATCTTAACTCTTTGCCCATCTCCAGATCAAATGGACTTGGGATTGGGGGAGGGGGGAGAGCACAACAGAAATGTCAACCAGAGGCTGTGACTCAAACTCACCTAGAGTAATTTGCCTCCCCTTACCTCCAACTCTAGCTGCCTTATATAAGGAGTCACTTGCCTTTTAAAGACTTGTTGAGTCATTAGATCTTTCTGCTCTATGTCCAATAAAGGATTGCTCCATCACCCCCAAAGCACTCCAAATCTTGCACACATGATCAGTTGGAATTAGGTGAGGTAGCACAGAACATGCCCAAAGGAGAGCTTTTCTTGCTGTTTTATGGGTGAGGAGGGAGTAGTTGTGGTTAATTGTAATAATGTTAAAAAGAAAAAAGAAAAGAAAGTGTCTTTTATCAATTGTGTCGATAGTGTCAATTGATCATTAAAAAGAAACAGAAGAGAACTGAAGGAAATTCAAAAAGGGACACAAACAAACCAGTTAGTCAACTAACATTTGTTGAGTTCCTGCTATGTATCAGGCATTGTGCTAAGTGCTAGGGATACAAAGAAAGTAAAAGATAGCCCCTTCTCTTGAGGAGCTCACAATCTAATGAGGGTGAGAACATGCAAATTCCTCTGTACAAACAAGCTATGTACAAGATAAATTGGAAATTATTAACAGAGGAAAGGCACTGGAATTAAGAGGGAATGTAGAAAGGCTTCCTGTAGAAGTTGGAATTTTAGGTGGGACTTGAAGGAATCCAGGGAGTTTAGAAGGCAGAGATGAGGAGAGAGTGAGCATTCCATGCATAGAGGGTGGCTGGTAAACTGAGTAAAGCAGGGAGATGGAGTGTCTTGTTTGAGGAGCAATAAGCAATCTAATTCACTGGATTGTAAAATATGTGATGGGATGTAAGGTGTAAGAAGACTGAAATTATAGGGGAGACGAAGTTGTGAAGGGCTTTGAATGCTAAACAGATTTTATTTTTGATCCTGGAGGTGATAGGGAGCCCACAGAATTTGTTCAAATATTGAGGGACCATAATCAGGATCACAAAAGATTTAGCAACTATCCCTATAAAGCAAAGAATGTGGAATGTGAGACTCCAAATGGCAAAATATAAAGGTCTACAACCAAAAATAACATACTCAGAAAAAGTAAGTATAATCTTACAAGGTGGAAAAATGGATCTTCTATGAAATAGAGATTTTCAAACATTTCTGATGAAAAGATTGGAGTTGGATACAAATATGGAAGTAAAAATAAAAATTTAAAAGGAAGTAAAAAATGAACAATCAGAATGAACTTTTAAAGGATGAACTATTTAAATTCTAATAGAGACTGAATGTTAAAAGGGTTCTGTTAGAACTCTAATTTCACAAGGGGTCATAAAAGCAATCAATTGAAACTGAAGATCTATAAATAGTTTTGCTATGTTTTGAAGATGTTGTAAGAAAAAAAGAAAAGGGGGTGGGAAAAGTATATATTGGGAGGAATGGGGGAACACATTGATACACATAATCAGATTGCTCAAATAGAACTGCACACAAAAATGGAAGGAGTGGGGGAAGTATCACCTGAACTTTGCTTTCATCTAGACAGCTCAAAAGAAGGCAGAATACACACACACACACACACACACACATGTTTGATGTAGAAATATGTGTAACTCAATAGGGATACAGACAGGAATATGAAGAGGGAGAAGAAGAGCACAAGAGGGAGAGATTAGTCATAGTAAAACAAACTCTAAATTTGAATAGGGGATAGTGAAGAGAAAGTTGACAGGAAAGAGTAGCAACTTGAAATAAACATGGACTAAAGAGTATAGGAGAATATGATGAAAGGAAATTGTGAATGTGAAAGGCATGAATTCATCCATAAAATAAATCCAAAAAATAAAAGGTTAGCAGAATGGATTAGAAATCCAAATCTAATGATATATTGTTTACAAGAAACACATCTGAAACATAAAGACACAATTAAAATAAGGGGTGGGAGCAAAATCTATAATGCCTCAGCTGAACACACACACAGATACATAAAATCAGGTATAGCAATTTTGATCTCAGATAAGATACAACCCCACAAATAAATTTAATTAAAAAGAGAAGTTACGTGTTGCTGAGAAGTAACATGTAAAATGAATTGATTGTAATGTGTAAAATATATGCATTGAATACCATAGCTTTGAAATACTTTAAAGGAAAAGCTAAATGAATTACAAGGAGAAATAAACAGCAAAACTACAATAGTGAGGGAACTCAATTTATTCCTATCAGTCTTAGATAAATCTAAGAACAACAACAAATCAAGGACCTTAGTAGAATTTTTAAAAAACAGATATGATAGATGTCACATTTCTTTCTTTTTTGTGTGTGTCCATCTCTTCATGACCCCAGTGGAGTTTTCTTGGCAAAGATACTGGATACCATTTTCTTCTTCAGAAACTAATGGAAACAGAGGTTAAGAGACTTGCCTAAGGTCACACAGCTAGTAAGTGTCTGAGGCTGTATTTGAACTCAAGTCCTCCTGACTCCAGATACAGCACTTTATCCACTGTGCCACGTAGCTGCCTTTAATAGACATCTAGCGATTATTAAATAAAAATGGAAAGGAGTATACATATTTCTCAACTATAATTACACTTTGCCAAAAGTTGATCATGTGTTAGATTATAAAAACCTCACATGCAAAAGTATAAAGGCAGAAATATTAATACACAGCCCTTCTTAATCACAATGCAAGAAAAATTATGGTAAATAAAGGACTATTAAAATACTGAAAATCAATTTCAAAAGAAATTCCTTAATTCCAAAGAATTGGTGGGTTGAAGAGCAAATTATAGAAACGATAAATAATTTCAGTAAAGATCATGAAAACAATGAGACAATATACCAACATTTTGGGGATGTAGTCAAAGCAGTCCTGAGGGGACTAAACACTTTTATTAAC